AGGTGCCGCATCCGCAGCAGCAACAGCAGCAGCCGCCACTAACGCGCACTCCACCGCTATGAGGAGAGGCCTAAGGGGAGATGGGATAATGTGCAATCTGATAGATTCCTTTTAATTTCATCGGATATTGATATACAATTTGGTGTTGCCAGCTGTGTGCGCGCATAGGTAAAAAAACAAGAAAGGAAACGGTTATTATTTTGCTTTGCGTGAATTGTAGAATATTTGGATGTGCGTTTACAGTATTAAAATTAGGTAATTGCGATAATGATTATATAATGCAATGTAAAAATGCTAATTGAAATAAAATCTGTTTAATTTATTGTATTTGTAAAAACGGTACTTTATTTATATATGTTCCTAATCAATTTGTATATGTATGTAGTTTATAATGAAAAATATTTAGAAATATATAAATATCTAATATACCAATGTGTGTATAAATATATAAAAATATGTAATAATTAGTATTGTAAAACTAAAACAATAATAAATTAATGAGCTTTCAAAAATTATGAAATTATAAAAGGATGTAATCAAGCAAGTCATGGAATAGCGTTGGGGCAAATAGTAACAACATCATCTATGTATTTGATAAATTATGTATTAGAAAAGGTCCCATTGTGTTCAAAGAAGTTGTAACTATAGGCTATACACTTTAACATCGGCGCATTTGAGGCTTTGAAAAACTACATTAACGGATGCTCATAGCACACATATAGTGACTAGTTTACTTATTCAATAATTATTTTCAAAAATGGCGGTACTAGTAATAATTTCAGTATTTGTGTTGCTTTGTAGAACATTTCAAGGAAATTATTGCAGAAATAACTTGAACAAATCCAGCATTGAATAAAAGAATAAAAGGAAACTGTACCATTGTTCCTTCTGGAGCGCGCACTTCTTAAGGGGTTACATGTGTTTCACGTTTTAAAAAAAAAAAATTATTGTCTTATTTAATTCTATCACATCTCTGGAATATTGTTCTAAATTCTCAAGCTAATACCAGTAATAGTTTTGGAGATACAGCTGCGTAAATTTGTGCGCTCGAGGTCAGCTACATAATCACTTAAAACTTTAAACGCGTTTTTCTCGAAACTGTGTTTTCAACATCGGTTGTCAAGATCTCCCACGGACTACTAAACCGATCTTAATGAAATTTTACACAGGTATTCGAGATATAATTTACAAGGTTTTGTCGCGGAAGAAAACGTCGATAAAATTTCACCAAAATTTGCATGTTTTTGCAAAAACGTCTGCCAAAATTTTGACTTTTTTTGTTTTTTTACGATCCAATACCTAGTTAATGGTTTTAATTCAAACACGTATTTTTTGCTTTTTACTTTTGCTGATCCTGTCAGAAATTCTGCTGTCAATGCGGAAGCACCTTTTTTCCAAGGGACTGCCGGACGTCGGAATCACTGCGTTTCGAATATTTGCCTTTGAAAATTATACAAAATCTTTTTAAAATATTTATCTTTGGTATAATCAAAAATTTGGATACAATATTTTTTATGAAAAAAGAAAAATTAAAATAGGCCGTTTTTTGCTCGACGTAACACATGCAAGTTTGCTCTATCAAGCTTGTTTCAGATATTACCAAACTACAGTTTCTCGTTCTCATTTCTTTAATGCGCTTAACGGGGGGCTCAGCAAATTAATCCACATCTATTAAGTTTACACTTGTATCGCGTAAAATACCAAGATCGGTTGGTCTATATAGTATTTAAATTTTTATTACTATACACACTAAAACATATAAGTAAAACAGAAGATATTTTAAATAACTATTTTACTTCTTTATTGCAAGTATTTTCCGCACGTATAAGGTCCCTTCTTACATATACCCTCACAATAGCCACCCTTATATTATATTAGAGAAATAGAAAATCAATTGGTAAGCATAATCTGCTTGGGGCAAGGAAGCACATCTGTAACTAAATTGTTGATGTGAGCATCGATTTGTTCGCCATTTTTAAAAATTCTGACAACATCAATCTACATAATTTAATATATCGCAAAAACTTTAAATAAATTGCTACTTTGTTATTATTAAAAGCCAATTGTTATCGCAATTTGGGCTTTAGATCGCCCAAAATATATTAGGAATGTTATTTGCACCACCATTCAGTAATGGTTCGACTTCAAACACGTGTGGTATTTCTGTAGTGACGGCATAAAAGTCGTCGAAGCCAGTAAAATACTTCTAGGTGTATAGATCGGAGAAGAAATTGGATCACTCATGGGTTAATAACTGCAGATATAAGTCTTTTCGAAGCCAGATGGGTAATTGTTAGTTCTTTTGTAAGTATTACATTTTTACATGCATATTTATAATTTTTGCTTTATGTATAAAATCGGACGTCTGTAAATATATAAGGAATCGTACTAACACCAAAGAAAAAAGATTTGTTCACAGCTTGCAGTACATCGACACGTATTTCAAAGCGGCAAATGAAGTTTAATTAAAGCAAGAAAAACAAGTAAGGAAGGGCTACGTTCGGGTGTATCCGAACATTTTATACTCTCGCAACTTGTAAGGACCAAAGCTGGTGACATATTTTTTCGAATTTCAATAATATATCTGACAAGTTGACCGTTATTATTGGTAAAAAGTTCGAAATAGGAATTGTCGTCCACATATTCGGTATCTGGAGGCTTAAATAGTTTTGGATCGAATGGGACAATTTTTAGTCATAAGGTAGCACACCTATTTCTGCTAAGTTTTATCCGAATAAATTGATTGGGTCTTGATTTGTATACTGGAAAGTAAAAGAATCTGATGGAATCTAAAATTGTGTTGTATGTAAGGTAGGCGTGGTTTTAGTCTGATTGCGCCCATTTTCGCAGCATAATGTAGGAATGTGAGGATAATATTAACTATCAAATTTGGTTGAAATCGGTTTAGTAGGTATCGTGATATTAGTTTTCACTAAATGTGGGTGGTGTCACGCCCATCGTCCAAATTTGACACAGGTTCTTATAAAGAACATTTTTTAAATTATGTATCTGGCACATTTGGATACAGATTTATCGCACTTTTAGTAGTTTTTAACAACCGTTATATGGGGAGTAGGGATTTTCACCGAGTGGATAGGAATGCCAAAAAGATTTGCCCTGAGCGAATTTGATTATTATAGTTTGACTGGTTTGAGAGATACGTACATTAAACTTATTAAAGGGAGGGGCCAAGCTCAGTTTTTCAAAATTTTGAAATCGACAGATGCCCCTCCTTAATGTAATTTGTTGTACCAAATAAAAGTGTTGTATCTTATTGTGGCACTTTATATGTTTTCAATTAATAGCGTTTTGTTTGAGTGGCAGTGGTTCCCTCCACCACCTCCTTGGGTGCCAAGGAATATGTGTACCAAGTATCATCAAGATATCTCAATTTTTACTCGAGTTATCACTTGCATGGACAGATAAACATTCACTCGGGATTCGACTCGTTTCTTCATCCTGATCATTTGTATACACATAACTACAAATCTATCTCGATTAGGTGCAGTTGATACAAGCTACCGTTATGTGAACAAAACTATTATACTCTGTATATAATACCCTCCACAGTTGCATTTATTATGGCAACTAGCTTATATTTGACTAAATTTGAAAACGTAGTCGGGTAACGGTTTGCATCTAACGGAAATTATTTCAAGTAAAACTTGAACATAACCTTAAATATAGGGCAACTGCGCCACCGTAATTACACAACCAAGTGCAGAGGAATAATACCATACTGGGGTTCATAATATTTATGAATATTCGATGTCATCAATTAATCGGTGCCCGATGGATGTCAATAGGATTTCTCGCGTCCTTGTACATTTTGCCGAAATCACACGATAAAAAACTGAAATATGGTTCACATATTACAAATTGTTTCTTCTGGAGAGCAATATAGACAGAGCTACTTTTTAAATTTAATACGCTCTGTGAGGCACTATTTTGACAAATTTTTAAATACTCACATTTCTAATTGTGGTCTCGCATATTTAAATTCTTCTTTGGTGTCTCGGTCTCGTTTCTGTAAAGCGCTTAACGGTCTAATAAATACAATCACATAACGGCATATTAAATATCTGATTTTAATTCGTTGACACAAGTATTAATTATAAAGTGAGCTTCCACTACATTACACCAACAAATCATTGAAAGCAATTATAAATCAATAAGCCAAACATACTGACATACTAACAGCTGAGCATGTCTCCTTCTCTGAATACATATCTATACGTATAACGTAATAATTATTATGCCTATAAATGACAATAAGGCATATTCACACAAACATATGTAAGTATGTGCCAGTTTAATAACTTAATTTTCACCTGCGTTGTTGACGTTGTCATAATAGCAGTGGATATTTAGATAATGTAACGCTTTTCAAATGCTCCACTTATGCCTGCACTCCCATAATAATTAAAAGTCGTTTATGTCTGCCCACGAAAATGACTTTATTTAAACTTTCCGTTGCGTCATTTTTGAATTTTTAATAGCGTCTTTGAGAAAGTGACACACTTTAAAAAGCAGCTGGAAACATTCTTAATGACCGAGTGAAACAAACTTTCGCACTTGTGAGTGCTGTTGTGGGAGCTCATAGAATGCGTGAAATCAAACATTAATCGCCTGCTGCCACGAGTAACTAACTATTTCTGTGATTTTGACTACTTGTACAATCTATGATTGTACCAGGCATGTAATGCAGAACATGCTTAGGCATACACATAAGGACAATACAGAAAATTACATGTAATTATACAAATTCTATGCCTTTAAAACAAAGTTGCTCCACATGTTCGAAGATGCATTAGTGGCAGAATAATTTAAGTAGCGTGCAATTAATTGAAACGCCAATAATAATTAAACACTGAGAACATAATCAAGTTTCCAACTTCTGGAAACGAATAACAGCTAACGGAAACAGGAGCAAACGCTTGCTCTACATATACAGTAATTGTGTTTTTATATACGAGTATGTACACATTAAAATATATAAATGCATATGTCAAACAGAATATATTTGAAATAACTGTTGGACTTCTGTGGACCAAGTCTCTTTTTACATTAAGGAGCCATACACCGTTATAATGGCCACCTTTATATTAGAGAAATAGAAAGTCATTTGGTAAGCATAATCTCCATGGGGGTATGGGAGCACGTTCGTAAGTACATGATTGATGTGAGAAACTGGGAGCTTATCCAGCAGTTCATCCTGCTAAATATTTAAATATTAACTCTTGTATTATATGAGCAAATTGTATATTATAATAAAAGCATAGTTACTTGTCCATAGGGGCAGGTTCTATTGATGGTGGAATATTTTTCGAAAAACTGATGTGCGAAGCGAATGACCGGGTTGTTGCGTGTTTTCAGATATTTACAAGCATCAATGGTTATATTGTATAGAAAGGGTTTGTAGCCATTTTCCTTTCGCAGCATGGCAAAGTTAATCTGAATAATTTTTCTGTAATGAAATTGGCAACACGTTGCATGTTTCTAGCTTACCTTTATGTCGTTAGTGGGTTGTTTTCTCGGTAATCTTGCACTTATCGTCAAGTGTTTGTAGGTGCGATTAACGGCCTTTATTAGACAAATATCGAAGTACGCAGTTGAATTATCAAGGGAAATGCATTTAACATTCGTAAACTCAACCTTTGAATGTACCATAATCTAGACAAAGGAAGCAGTGAAGAATGCCTTTCCACAAGTACAAAAATACAAGTTTAAATAAATTAAATACTCACAACAAAAGTTATGCCGAGTGATACCACCGTTAGTACCGATTTGTTCGCCATTTTCAAAAACTTTGACAACATCGACCTTGCTAACTCAATATATTGCGAAAAAGTTCAAGTAATGTCCACTTTATTATTATTACAAGCCAATTGCTATCGCAAATCGGTTGTTAAAATAATTGTGGCAAATTTTTTGCTCCACTGCGTGCCAATTGCGTGGAGATTAAAATCAAATATAAAAAGTTCTGTACTGTAACCATAAGTTCAGGAACGGTTCCAGATTTGCCAATAGGTTTTAGGAATCTACTATACACTACCAACAGTAGTTGTTCGATCTCAAGCACGAATATTTTTTGTATAAAAACCAGCAGTCATTCGAAGCTGGCTTAAACACTTCTAGATGTGCAGACCGAACTGAGCAATAGTTTGGTGTAACTAATAAGTCGGCAAAATCATGGGTTAATATCATATATATAATAATAAGCCAAACCGTTATTTGCCAGTTGTTTTAATATCGAATATGCTTATGAACTCAGATCGACTTGAAATAAAAATAATTAATTTTTTCTTAATTACTCACTTTTATTGTAAATAAAAATCTTAATTGTTCACTGCGCAGTTTGGCAAAACCCTTCGATCATTTCAGTGCAGAATAAGTTATGAAATCTTATTGGCAGTGAAAATGAGTAATCTGAGGCTTTGGGAAATAATCTACGGACTTTTATCGTAATTATTACATTTTTACGCACATACACGTACCTATTTAAATTTTATAAAATCGAGCGTACAGAAATATATTCCATAAAAAATTGTATTAACACTAGGCAATTAAATATGTTCAGATCGCGTTGTACATCGACACGTCTTTCAAAGTTAAATAAAATAGCTGATAAATCCTGAATATTTTGTTTCAGCAAGGCGAGGCTATAGATGGCCTGTGTTAAAGACATTTGGACCGAAGTTCAGCGATCACCAACGGAGCAATGCGATACTCATTCCGATTTGCATACAACTTGTATATACGGCTTAAAATTGTCATTAAAAACCGTATATAACTGGAAATTCTAAAAATGCTTTCGTATTTTACATTAAATTTTAGATGGCGAAATTGATAATGCGGTAATATGTTTCACTACTTTCATTTTAATTACTTTTGCAGTGCTCTTTCAAAACTTTTGTTTCAGCGAAGTTAATCGTGCTTGTTTTACACCGATATTTATAGTTATGATTTAGTGTTTTTCGATATTATTTAAATAAGCTGAACATCCCCACTCTTGACTCTTTATCGAAGAGGTATGATTATTAAGTCATATCGAAATTAATTGTTTTTTTTTTAATAAAATCTGATAATTTCGAATTACCAATTTCAAAAAAATTAAAGTCAAACTGCCAGCGGTGGAATTAAAATAAATCCATTATATATAATATAATATTTCCAGAATTTCAACATAAACATTTTTCGTTTTCGAGCTTTGAGAATAGTTTTGTTTATAAGTATGTATATGTATTAAACTTAAAAGCTTTCAAAAATGCTTTATTATACATTTCATTATTAAAAAATCGTTAAGTCCATTAGTTGGTACCAGTCGGATCGTGTCGTGTCATGTTGGTACGCTGTGCAGTTGAGTGGACAGTAAACATGCACAAAGTCATTTTTTTTCTAATAGTCCTCAGCGCACTTGCTGTAAGTATTTCGCAAAAAGTTTCTAATTCTTAAATGTTTACGTTAATATTTACATTGAGCAGATAACGGTCAAGACGAAATTAGAATTTAGCAATGCTATTTGCATTAACACCGATCGGTCGTACGTTTATTTCGATACTTGCATTCTAAAAGCGGTTAATCGCTCGTACAAGTATTTGACAGTGCGTGCAACATTTCCTCAAAAGAAACCAGTTTATAATATTTCGGTACGTATTACTACTTAAAATTGCGAAGATGCGCTTTACAGCTACTAATGTTTGTATTTCAATGTGTAGATGTCGTTTGCCTTGCTGCGTAAAGCAAATGGATATAAACCGTTTCTTTACAACTTCACCATTGACGCCTGCAAGTATATGAAGACGCGTGCCAATCCGGTTGTAAGGTACTTTCACAGCTGGTTCGAGAAGTACTCCACCATAAATAAGACTTGCCCATATGGTCCAGTAGGTCAATACTTATTTCAAGATGATAAGTGGGCGTTAAAAATTACTTTTCTCAATAAAATTTCAGCAAGACGAGGTTGTTGAAAAGCTGCCCATCAGCTATGTGAACCATGTGGCAACCCAGGTGCTGCCATTACCAACAGGCGAGTATACCTTTCACACCGATTGGTACTTTTATGGCGTTAAAGTGGCTATCGTGAAGGTATTTTTTAAAATTTACTAGCGGGAACTAACCTAAATAAATGGAAATATTGAACGATTCAACATAGATCCAAAGAATGAATATATACATCATGCGATTCAAAACTTGCATTTGTACTATAAATAAATATATTCATTATTTGATGAGCCTCAATAAATCCTGTGCTTGTTTTCTCTTAACAAGAAAAAAATATAAAAAATTGTTTTTGATTTAATCGTAGCCAAATATTTTGTTTAGTTTGTTTAGTAACTTCGAAGGTATTTGTTTAATATGACTAGCACAATGGCTGGAAGAAATGATATTTTCACCAATTTCCTTCAATTTCCAACTATGTCATGTTTAATTTATATGTACTATTTACTATATACATATGTGTATTGGAATAAGTATATAATTTAATGCTCAACTAATCACTTTGCTTTCACATCAGACTTTTTAGTGCAAGCTTTCTAAATCCAGAGAAATTTAGATGGTATCATAAATATTACTTAATTGCACATTTAATAACATATTTACTGTCTAATAGCGTTCACCTCCAGAAACATTAGTGAGATCGAGGCATAAAGTGCCACTGAAAGCATAAATATATTTTGTGATTTTGAAAGTCTCTGCCAAATTTATAATGGTGATGAAAATGTCACTTGACAACAATAAAGTCGAGCGTCAAATATGGGATTTACATTGGTATTAATCGATCCTTCCACGATTTCGACCGGTGCATTTTAAAAGCGGTTAATCGATCCGATAAATATTTCTCAATGGGCACAGAGTTTTTGCGAAAAAGACCTTAACACAATATTACGGTATGTATAAATCAACAATTTTTCTGTTTTGCTCTCATATACTTTATAACCAAATTCTTTATTCTTTTTTAGATATATAGAGTGCTTATATTTTCAGAATCATAGCAAACCGGTTGTAAGGCACTTTCTTAGCTGCTTCGATATTTAAATTGCTCTAAATAGAATCTGCCACTATGGAGCTGTGAGTTCAAGCTTCTAATAACTAAAACCTTGTGCACTTAAAGCTTATAAATTTCATTGTAGCTAAGTTTTTTACACCGATTGATGCTTGTCAGCAAGAAGATGGGCGTAGTCAACGTCGTTTTCCAAATTCAAGTAATAGACGCTTTCAAGAACCATAGATAATTGTACGCATGTATACATGTATATGTTAGCTCATAATCTCTGTATTATCTTTTTTGCATAAGTAGAATGTTAACGGTGTTTCACGGCTATTATATTTTGTCTGTAGTTGTTTGTTTCTTGTGTTAACGATGATTATTGGCATAATGGCCGCTTATGTGTTACCAAAACGCACTAATTGTTTAATATACTTATATTGCACATGTGTGTGTTGAGCTAAGGCACTGGCTACGAAAAAAGTCTTCTCTTCTTCTGGCATAAACTTATTGTTTTAATGTAAACCATCTGATTTCTCAATAAAAAAATATTGCTCTAAGGCGCTTTTCGCTAAAAAAATTATATTATTTAATTTGTTGTATATACACATATTTATAAATTTTCATATACATATATACCTGTATGGCATATACATAGATACATAAATGTACCCCACATATGTAACCAATTGCCTTGAAATCTATTACACAGAATTAAATGTTTAATTAATTTGCTTTTCTGTGTATGCACATGTGTGTTTGTGTGTGTTTTGAGAGTTTCCACACCCATTTCACTTTCGCTATCGAACATTTTCACGTCGTTCGCGAACACTTAAAGCGTAACCATTTACATTTAATATGTTTGCAAATGCAACCAGGAGTGCACACATACATATATACACACATATGTACATAAATAAACATATATGTGCATATGTATACGCGTTTATGGTTTCTCATTTTCGAAATTTAAAATTCAAATTGCACCGATAAGTCTGACTGCATGAAATCGTTTGGCTGCCTGCTCTCTTTGGCTGCGGTAGCGCCATTGCTTGACTGGTGCACTCGCTCGAAGAGCATCCGACATGTTCTGCTGTCGGATTTTAATTTATACTTTGGCAGCATGTTTTCAAAGGATATACAGGATATGGCTAGCAACACAACACCACCAACGCATACATACACACATTAGTACACATTATGCTTACTTTTCTATGCATATACAAGTATATATATATAGGATAGATTAAAGCTCATGTTAGCATTTTGTTTGCATATGAGCTTTCTGTGCTCGTCGACTTGCAATATACTCGTATAAGTGTGTTCGGCATATCCTCTGCATGCTAATTTTCAATATTTCGCCATACAAATGCAGTGGCATGTCTGCTTTCAATATACCAAGCGTGAAAATGTTTGCTTGCATTTGAGCAACATGAGCATAAGCACGAGTATGTGGAACCTTTTCCTGCAGTCAAATCGTTGGCTCTGAAATGCACTAGTAATAAATGTAGTAGTAGCAAATGCGACTAAACATTGTGCGTTTTCGAAATGAGTCTTTTAATGTTAAAGTAATAAAAGCACTGAAAATCTCTCTACGATAATTTGGGTAATATTTGTTCTTTTAAAAAATTTTAATATATAATTTATTAAGTTCAGCACTTAAGCTTAAATACCTCTTCGTTTTCGATTTGAGCATTTTCTTTATTTATATCAGCGTATATAGCTTTAGAGCCAAAGTAGTTAAGCTCCACGTTTGCACCAGTTGTCATCTCTACAACTGTATATATTATATACGTACATA